CTCACCATTGTTATTTATATGATACCAAAAAAACAGTGTGTGTGTGTGTGTGTGTGTGTGTGTGTGTGAGAGAGAGAGAGAGAGAGAGAGAGAGAGAGAGAGAGAGAGAGAGAGAGAGAGAGAGGTAGACCTGCATCAGCTACAGGAGAACACAGATGGGGAGACTATTAGATATTTGTTATGTATCTACTATGGTGTTGGAATATTTGGGGAAAGTAGGAAAAGTTTGGGAAGCATTCATTTTTCAAAGGATAAGTAGCACAGCAATGAAAAAGGAGAAATCTGCAAACATAATCATAATTCTAATAGCAAGAGGCAAGGACTTAGATGGTAAATCATAAATGGTCTACATGATTGTTACATTTTATTCATAATATTTTTTAAAAGTTCCTATGTTATCTCAGTTAGATGAGTTCCCTTACTTACCTGGAGAAACTGGTGTCCATGAAATTCATAATGTAGATACATCCATTCTAGTTCATATAAAGAAAGACACTTTTTTTTTTAAATTTTCTTGAGCTGACATTTTCCCCCAATAAATAATCAGGCACACCTGTGACATCATCAGGAGCTACCCCTGAAGCTAGAGATGGCAGCACCCCTGAAGGAGCAGCCACTGGAACCACTGTTTCAGGTGAGGTTTACCAGGTTGAATATGATGCATCAGGAGCTCCCCATCTGTGCTCTCCTGTAGCAGAGGCAGGTCTACAATATTGGGCACTGACTGGGATTATATAGTAGGACTAAGGAAAGGTGAAGGGATCACTTGTTTCATTTTTTGAGAAATGCCCAAATACTCACATGGAGAGCAGGAATGACATGCACCCACCACCTAAGCACTGGTTCTTGTTTCCAGGGACCACAGGAGTATCGGCAGGCTCCACCACTGCCAGCTCTGGAGACTCTGCTAGACCTTCCTCCACCTCTGCTAGCAGTAAATCGGGTATGTACAAGGGAGAATTCCATGAGTTTGCAGGTATAAAATGGTGAGTGAATGCATGTCTCAATTTCTATACTCTAGAGTGTGGGAAGAACAGAAAGAACTAGTCAGAGATTTGAGAGAGTGAGCCCAACTTTTGACCAACAGTTCAGCAAGTATGAGTGTGCTGACTGACTTAGATGTTCTTTCTGTAATCTTATGAAGTTGTCAGGTTTTCTGTGGGCCACAGTAGTGTCAGAACTCTGTTCCTGGAACTTCTAAAGCAGTGAGTGTGGAATGGGCCCATAGTTTGCTAAGCTGGCTATAAATTTTAACCAACTTCCAAAAAAATTGGAATGTTTCTTGAGAGTGTCATTGAATGCATGCATGTATTTTAAAGCCTCAGTTTATTGCCATAGGCAGCCTGGGGCAGATACACTAGGTTCAAATAAGTGAACCATAAAGAAGTTGGTAATAAGCAGTTTTATTTGCAAGCAAAATGAATGCACTTCACTAAATGATTCCAAGTCTTACATGATATTATGATTGCTTTTTGGAAATATTAAAACAAAACTGGTTTGATGTCCCAGCTTGACCAGTTTAGGGGACGCATTGGGTACTCAATTCAGAGCAGATTATACTGGCTACAAACAAGGATCGATTTCAAGCAATGCTGCACAACACAGTATTTTTCCAAATCAATAATCGGATTCAAAGGGTAGTTTTTCTTACATAATTAAATGTAATAGCCTTTTATAAAGTTACTTCTATAAAACATACTATGTTATAACTATATGTCCCAACTACCTAGTAATAGGTAGCTCATATACAGTTATTTTTAGCCAGGTTTAATTTTTTTTAATCCTTCATCACTGAGAACAAGAAGGTCAGCAGATAAAACAGCAGGAACCAATATGGAATTACAAGAGACACAGCTTACAAACAGGCATACCAAAGATATGAGGCAGATCCTATAGTCTACCCAGGCAGTCCTGGGTTCCCCTTCACAATACCTTCACTCTGAATAGAGCCTTATCTACAGGGGCCAAGTACAGGAATATCACAGGCCAGTGGGATGATTTGGGAAATATTCAATATTTAATATTTGTAGTTCAGTAAAAAGTTAATGATATATTTTTATGGAATATTAAATTTGTTCATATATTGTTTGTGATTAAGTCAAACTTAAACCCCTTGAAGTTACATGCCATTATTCCTGTCAGATAGAAAATACAAATGGCCTCAAGCTGGCAAGGCAGGGGTAGAGTACAGACTACTGAGCCACATGGGTACTAGCTGGCTCCAGTTCTGAGACCTGCATTGGGAGCTCCCATCCAACAAAACCCAAGGAGAACATGCCTCTGTTTGTTCATTGTTGGCTCAGTATTATCATAGTTAAATCTAGGAATGAAAAGTTTTTATAATATTAAACATAGAAAATTTTGATTAAAAACAAGCAAGACTAAATTTGCAATGATCATCATGTCATCAGTTAAAAATTATAGGGAATTCTGCAGTGTCTTCTCCTTGCATTCCCTTAGCCTGTGTTTTATTCAGGTGTTGCACCCTTTGCCCCAGTCCCTGCAGTCCTCTGCCTAGGTCACTTCTTTCCTCTATAACCAAGGTGCTCTGCTCGAAGTGAGGTTTCTAGGAATGCTGTGGGATCTTGTTAGATGGCCACATTTCTGGGTCCACCAGCCTAGCATCAAAAGTATTGGAGTGGAGCCCAACACACATTCTTAACAAGATTTTAGGGAATCAGTGTTTCAGTTGGAGAAGTTCCTTTCCACGAGTGACACTTTTTCCCAACTTCCCTCCGAGGTTGCACTCCATCAACGTCAAATGTGAATGACTTTCTCATAGATTGGTTTTCAACCTTTTTTGCAGTATTTAAAGTACTCACATATTTCTGATGTTTTTAAGATAAATCACACATTTTTGCTATTAAGAAGCCTTTTTCTCATCTAAAGCCAGGATGTCTTTCCATGTATTTATTAACAAATCCATGGACCTATTTGGGTTTATTCTAGAGTTTTTTGATTAGCTGATGATTTGATTTATAATTTGTGACAAAGAGTCATTTGAATAAACTTTATTTAACATTAAAACTACAGAGCTCAATAATGCAGTTTATATATAGGAGGAAAATAACCTGGGTGATTCTCTTTGGATCAGTAAACTTATTAAAATTTTAGAGTGATGAGCATTTAGTTTATATTCATAAAAATCTAATTCAGAATTAGATGCTAAGAATGAATCTAAATAGGTGATCTCTTGTTGTTATCAGACAGTAAGTTCCATAGATCTAGAACAGGTTATTGAAAGTTTGGTGCCCAAGTGTGTGCTCCCAGTCTGAATGAAAAAAAAAACAAACAATTGTAAATATAGCACTTTAACACTATCATCTTTTAACTGCTAAATAAAGATGTACAGATTATATTACCATCAGTATTTAAGTTTTACCTCTGGTTTTATTTCATGTTTTTTTAATGATTCCATTGTAGTTATACTTAATATTGGGTAATTTTAAAAGAAAGCCTCTACCATAGATGGGAAACCATACAGTTGATTTGACCAAATAAATTAGAGGTAGGTCTTTTTCTGTATCAAAGTATAAGGAAGTTTATGACATTAAAAGATTTGATTGATGCATAGGCAATTTGAAATGGTGTTTTCCATCAATAGGAACAGGAGGCCCAAGTTCAACAACCCCCAGTGTGGAGAAGGGCAGCACACCCAGGGAACCCAGCACTGGAGCTACCAGCCAGGAGAACTCAGGTAAGTTAGGAGGTACACTAAGTGAATATTATTGGGTACAAATATGAAAGCATCTAGGCATGAAAATGTATAAGAAGTCTGAAATTTGTCTTAATCTCCCAATCTCCTCCTTATGAGGAACTAGCATAAGTTGCAAACACTGCTACTGTGTTTATCAGGTACAACAGGAGAGTCCTTGAGATCAACCTCAGGAGCAGGCAGTGCAAGTACACCTGCAACTTCAGGAACTGGGGCCACCAGCACTGGAAGCCCAGCAGGTAAGACAGAGCCTCCTTAGGGACTGTGGTGGGGTCTACTGCAAATTTGTCAAGATCTCCGAGTGTGAAAATAAGCACAAGGAACAAAACAATAGAGAATATGGAAGGAACTGATGACTAGAAAAAAACCATGGAATGTGCTGGCATGAGCTTTTCTTCCTTCCTCTCTGTACACTAAGCACTATTTTTTCTCCCATTAGCAACAAGAGGAGCAACTGACAAAGCCACCACTGTCTCTGCTGGTGACAACACATCTGGAAGGACAGGTACTGATGGAGCTTAAGCAGCCTGAAATCCAGGCAGTAGACATGTGAGCCCTGTGCTCAAATTGAGTGAGAGATGAGGTTTCCTGGGAGTCTGACCATTGTTATTTATATGATGCCAAGTATACAGATGATCAGAAGTAGACTGTTTGATACTTATTCCTGCTGTAGTGTTAGAAACTTTGTGGAAAGTAGGCCAAGTTTGGGAAGCATCCATTTTCAAAGGGTAAGCAGCGGAGCAATTAAGAAGGAAAAATTTGCAAACTGGATCAAAATATAATTGTAATAACAAGAGACAAGGACTTAAATGGTAAATCATAAATGTTCATAAATGTTCTGATTGTTACATTTTATTCATAATGAATGTTTTAATAAAGTTCCTATGTTATCAGTGTTAGATGAGTTCCCTTATTTACCTGGAGAGAGAAATTAAGATGTCTATGAAATTCACAATGTAGATATATCCATTCTAGTTCATATTAAGAAGGACAATTATTTTGATTTTCCTAAGCTGATATTGTCCCCCAATAAATAATCAGGCACACCTGCGACATCATCAGGAGCTACCCCTGAAGCTAGAGATGGCAGCACCCCTGAAGGAGCAGCCACTGGAACCACTGTTTCAGGTGAGGTTTTCAAGGTTGGATGTGATGCATCAGGAGCTCCCCATCTGTGTTTTCCTGTAACAGATGCAGGTCTACAATATTGGGCACTGACTGGGATTATATAGCTAGACTAAGGAAAGGTGAAGGGATCCCTTGTTTCATTTTTTGGGAAACACCCAAATACTCATATGGAGAGCAGGAATGATATGCACCCCCCACCTAAGCACTGGTTCTTGTTTCCAGGGACCACAGGAGAGTCTGCAGGCTCCACTACTGTCAGCTCTGGAGACTCTGCTAGACCTTCCTCCACCTCTGCTAGCAGTAAATCAGGTATGTACAAGGGAGAATTCCATGAGTCTGCAGGTATAAAATGGTGAGTGAGTGCTTGTCTCAATTTCTATATTCTAGAGTGTAGTGAAGAACAGAAACAACTAGTCAGAGACTTCAGAAAGTGAGCCCAACTTTTGACCAACAGTTCAGCAAGTAGGAGTGTGCTGACTGACTTATATCTTCTTTCTGTAATCTTATGAAGTCAGATTTTCTGTGAGCCACAATAGTGTCAGAACCCTTTTCCTGGAACTTCTGAGGCTGTGAGTATGTCATGGAGCCATGGTTTGCTAAGCTGGCTATAAATTTTAACAAACTACCAAAAACTTTGGATTGTTTATTGAGAGAATCATTGAATGCGTGCATGTATTTTGAAGCCTCAGTTTATTGCAATAGGCAGCCTGGGGCAGATGCACTAGGTTCAAATATGGGAACCATAAAGAAGTTGATAATAAGCAATCTTATTGTGCAAGCAAAATGAATTTACTTCACTAAAGGATTCTAAATCATACATGATATTACGATCACCCCTTAAAAATATTACAACCAACCGGTTGGAAGTCCCAGCTTCACCAGTTTTGGGGACACATTGGGTACTCAATACAGAGCAGATTATACTGGCTACAAACAAGGATCTGATTTCAAGCAATGCTGCACAACACAATATTTTTCCAAATCAATAATAAGACTCAAGTTGTAGTTCTTCTTACGTAATTAAAATGTAATAGCCTTTTATAAAGTTACATTTGTAAAACATACCATGTTATAACTAAATGCCCCCACTACCTGGTAGTTGGTAGCTCCTATGCAGTTAGTTTTAGCCAGGATTTAATTTTTTTTTTATCCTTCATCACTGAGAACTAGAAGGTCAGCAGATACAACAGCAGGAATCAACAATGAAATTACAAGAGACACAGCTTACAAACAAGCGGATCAAAGATATGAGGCACATCTTATACTGTACACAGGCAGTCCTTGGTTCCCCTCCACAATACCTCCACTCTGAGTAGAGCCTTAGCTACAGAAACCAAGTATAGGAGTAACACAGGCCAGTGGGAGACTTTGGGAAATACTCAGTATTTAATATTTGTAGTTAAGTAAAAAGTTAATGATATATTTTAATGGCATATTAACTATTTTTAATATGTTGTTTGTGATTAAATCACACTTAAATCCCTTGAAGTTACATGTGATTATTTCTATCAGATGAGAAAATACGAATGGCCTCAAGCTGTCAAGGCAGGGGTAGAGTACAGACTGCTGAGTCTCATGGGCACTAGCTGTCCCCAGTTCTGGGACCTGTATTGGGAGCTCCTATCCAACAAAAGCCAAGGAGAGCATGCCTGTGTATGTTCATTGTTGGCTCAGTATCATCACAGTTACATACAAGAATGAAATGTTTTTACAATATTAAACGTAGATAATTTTCATTAAAAATAAGCAAAACTAAATTTGCAATGGTCCTCATGTCATCAGTTAAAAACTACAGGGACCTCTGAAGTGTCTTCTCCTGCATTCCCTCAGCCTGTGTTTTATTCAGGTGTTGTACCCTTTGCCCCAGTCCCTTCAGTCCTCTGCCTCGGTTACCTCCTTCCTCTAACACCGTGGTGCTCTGCTCAAAGTGGGGTTTCTGGATCAATATCACAGGAATCCTGTTGGATTCTGTTAGATGGCCACATTTCTGGGTCCACCAACCTAGCATCAAAAGTGTTCGAGTGTCCCAGCAGACTTCTTAACAAGGTTCATAGGGAATCAGTGATCCAGTTGGAAAAGTACCTTTCCACGATTCACACTTTTTCCTAGCATCCCTCAGAGGTTGCACTCTATCAACATCATATGTGAATGATTGCTCACAGATAAGTTTTCAGCCTTTTGTGCAGTATTTAAAGTATTTTAAATATTTCTGATTTTTTTTTAAGTTAAATCACACATTTTTGCTATGAAGAGGGTTTTTCTCATGTACAGATAGGTGTCTTTCCATGTTTTTATTAATAAATCCTTGGGTCTATTTTTGTTTTATTCTACAGTTTTTTGATTAGATGATGCTTTAATTTAAAACTTATGACAGTCATTTGAATAAACTTTATTTAACATTAAAAGTACAAGGTTTAATAATGTAGTTTATAGATAGGGGGAAAATAAACTAGGTAATTCTCATTGGATCAGTAAATTCATTAAAAATCTTAGAGTGACTAGCATTATTTTACATTCACAATAATCTGATTTAGAGTTACATACTAACAATGATATCTCAGTAGGTGATAACTTGTTATTATTAGATAGTAATTCCTTAGATCTGGAACAGGTAATTGAAAGTTTGGTTCCCAGTGTGTGCTCAAAGACTGAATGAAAGAAAGCAAACACTTGTAAATATACCATTTTAACACTATCATCTTTTAATTGCTAAATAAAAATGTGAAGATTATATAATCCTCACTAATTTTTTCCTCTGGCTTTATTTTAATTTTTTTTATTTTAAATGATTGCATTTTAGTTATACTTAATATTGAGTAATAGTAAAAGAAAGCCTCTACCATAGATAGGAAACTGAATACTCAGTTGATTTGTCAAATCAGTTAGTCATTGGTCATTACCTGAATCGGTTAACAATGTAAAGTAGTTTATGATGTTAAAAGATTTGATTGATGCACAAGGCAATTTGAAATGCTATTTTCCATCAATAGGAACAGGAGGCGCAAGTACAACAACCCCCAGTAGGGAGGAGGGCAGCACACCCAGGGAACCCAGCACTGACGCTACCAGCCGAGAAAACTCGGGTAAGTTAGGATGTGATGTTAGTGAATATTACTGGGTACAAATATGAAACATCTAGGCATGAAAATATATGAGAAGATTGAAATTTTTGTCTTAATTTCCAACCTCCTCCTTCTGAGGAACAAGCATATCCTGCAAGCATTACTACTGTGTTTATCAGGTACAACAGGAGAGTCCTTGAGATCAACCTCAGGAGCAGGCAGCGCAAGCACACCTGAACCATCAGGCACTGGGGCCACCAGCACTGGAAGCCCAGCAGGTAAGACAGAGCCTCCTTAGGGACTGTGGTGAGGTCTAATGCAATTTTGTCAAGATCCCTGAGTGTGAAAATGAGAACAAGGAATGAAATAATGGAGAATATGGAAGGAACTGATGACTAGAATAAAACCACGGGATACACTGGAATATGTTTTTCTTTCTTCTCTGTATACTAAGCACGATTTTTCCTCCCATTAGCAACAAGAGGAGCGACTGACACAGCCACCACTGTCTCTGCTGGTGAAAACACATCTGGAAGGACAGGTACTGATGGAGCATAAGCAGCATGAAATCCAGGCAGTAGACATGTGAGCCCTGTGCTCAAATTTAGTCATAGTACGTGCGAATATTACCATTGTTATTTATATGATGCCAAGTATGCACAGGATCAGAAGTAGAGTGTTAGATACTTGTTATTTAACTATTCTGGTGTTAGAAACTTTGTGGAAACTAGGAAAAGTTTGGGAAGAATCCATTTTCAAAGGTTAAGCAGCACAGGAATGAAGAAGGGGGAAATTTGCAAACCAGATAATAATATAATTGTAATTACAAGACACAAGGACTTAGACATAAATCATAAATTGTCTATACGGTTGTTACATTTTATTAATAATGAATACTTTAATAAAGTTCCTATGTTATCAGAGTTAGATTAGTTTCCTTATTTACCTGGAGAGAGAAATTAAGATATCTGTGAAATTCACAATGTAGATACATCCATTCCAGTTCATAAAAAGGACATTTTTTGATTTTTCTCAAGCTGATATTTCCCCCCAAAATATAATCAGGTACACCTGCGGCATCATCGGGAGCTACCCCTGGAGGAGCAGCCACTGGAACCAGTGTTTCAGGTGAGGTGTACCAGGTTGGATGTGATATATTTGAAGCTCCCCATCTGTGTTCTCTTGTAGCAGATGCAGGTCTACAATATTGGGCACTGACTGGGATTATATGGCAGGACTAAGGAAAGATGAAGGAATCACGTGTTTCATTTTTTGGGGGGGAAACACCCAAATACTCATATGCAGAGCAGGAATCACACACATCCCCCACCTAAGCACTGATGCTTGTTTCTAGGGACCACAGGAGTGTCTGCAGGCTCCACTACTGAGGGCTCTGGAGGCTTTGCTAGTCCTTCCTCAACCTCTCCTAGCAGTAAATCAGGTATGTACTCGGAGAATTCCATGAATGTGCAGGTATAAATGGTGAGTGAATGCATGTTTCAATTTGTGTACTCTAGAGTGTGGTGAAGACGCGAAAGAACTAGTCAGAGACTTGAGAGAGTGAGCCCAACTTTTGACCAACAGTTTAGCAAGTAGGAGTGTGCTGAGTGAAGTAGATGTTGTTTCTATAATCTTATGAAGTTGTCATGTTTTCTGTGGGCCACAATAGTGTCAGAACTCTTTTCCTGCAACTTCTGAAGCAGTGAGTCTGGAATGGGCCCATGGTTTTCTAAGCTGACTATAAATTTTAGCCAACTACTGAAAAATTTGGATTACTTATGTGAGAATCATTGAATGTGTGCATGTATTTTCAAGCCTCAGTTGATTTCAATAGCCAACCTGGGTCAGATACACAAGGTTCAAATATGTGAACCATAAAGAAATTGGTAATAAGCATTCTTATTTGCAAGCAAAATGAATGTACTTCAATGATTCTAAGTCTTATATGATATTATGATCTCTTTTTGGAAATATTGAAACCAAATTGTTAGAAGTCCCTGCTTGACCAATTTTGAGGACACATTGGGTATTCAGTTCAGAGCAAATTACATTGGCTACAAACAAGGATCTGATATTAAGCAGTGCTGCTCAACACAATAATTTCAAAATCAATCTTTTGTAATTAAAATGTAATAGCCTTTTATCAAGTAACTTTTGTAAAACATAGCAAGTTATAAGTATATGTCCCTACTAGCATGTAGTTGGTAGCTCCTATGTAGTTATTTTTAGCCAGATTTAAAAATATTTTTTTATCCTTCATCACTGAGAACAAGAAGGTCAGCAGATAGAATATCAGGAACCAA